AGCCAAGACGGGGTTCGCAGCAATGGTTTCAAGTTGGAAAAATTCAGATTCAGGAAGGATATAGGAAAGTAGTGGTTTGGTAATAGAGTTGTGGATGAGTGGAACAAGCTCCCGAGTACAGTTATTGAGGCAAAAACGTTGTGAAGTTTTAAAAATAGGTTAGATAAATACAGTAGACCCCCGCATAACGATCACCTCCGAATGCGACCAATTATGTAAGTGTATTTATGTAAGTGCGTTTGTACATGTTTGGGGGTCTGAAATGGACTAATCTACAGTGGAACCCCGCATAGCGACTTTAATCCGTGCAAAAGGGCTGATTGTTATGAGAAATGATCGGTATGCGAATAAATTTTCCCCATAAGAAATAATGGAAATCAAATTAATCCGTGCAAGACACCCAAAAGTATGAAAATTTTTTTTACCACATGAAATATACATTTTCCTACACACAAAGAGAAGGATACATGCACAATAGTAGAGTAGTACATGCACAATATATATTGTGCATGTACTACTCTACTAAATGAAGAATAAATGACACTTACCTTTATTGAAGATGCAGCAATGACTGATGAGACACTGTGTCCTGGGAGTGCCTTTTCCTCCTGAGTACTGTAGGTCCTGTTTGGCATTTTCTTCCAGAACAGGCCTTATCACACTGTGTATGCCACTACGATTCTTAAATCTCTCAAACCAACCTCTGCTGGCTTTAAATTCACCAATATGAGCACTAGTTCCAGGCATTTTTCCCTGTTCACATGGGTGTTAGTCGACTGGTGTGGGTTGCATCCTGGAAGACAAGATTAAGGACCCCAATGGAAATAAGTTAGACAGTCTTCGATGACACTGACTTTTTTGGGTTATCCTGGGTGGCAAATCCTCTGGGGTTAATTGTTTCTTGGTATTCTCAATAAGCCACACCAACAACGGTGCTACAGCAGCAGCAGCAGCAGCTGACAGTGCTACAGCAGCAGCAGACGATGCTACAGCAGCAGCAGACGGTACTACAGCAGCAGCAGCAGACGGTACTACAGCAGCAGCAGCAGACGGTACTACAGCAGCAGCAGCAGCAGCAGCAGCTGACAGTGGTACAACAGCAGCAGCAGCTGACAGTGCTACAGCAGCAGCAGACGATGCTACAGCAGCAGCAGACGATGCTACAGCAACAGCAGACGATGCTACAGCAGCAGCAGACGGTACTACAGCAGCAGCAGCAGCTGTACCACCAATAGTAGCGATGGTTGATTGGGGTTTATTATACAACCTGGCCAGCTCGGAGACACGCACTCCACTTTCATACTTATCAATGATCTCTTTCTTCATCTCTATAGTAATTCTCACCCTTATTGCTGTAGGGTTGGCACTAGAAGCTTTCTTGGGGCCCATGGTCACTTATTTTCCAGATAAATCACCAAAAACACTGTAATAATACGAAATGTTCCGATTGTATGCTTGGATGTTACCGCGGAGGCTGGCTGGTAAACAATGCCACCGGTGGCACATGTGAGGCTGGCTAAGGGTGCACATTGGACGCGTCTCGAACGAAGAGCAGTGAGCGGGTTTTTGGGCGGTATGCGAGGCAAAATTTTTGCGATAAAAGCGAGCGGTATGCGGATTGAACGGTATGCGATGCGTACGGTATGCGGGGGGTCCACTGTACTTCACAATATTCCTTATGGGAACAAATTCGGTCAGTACTGGCACCTGAACATACTTCTGGAGTGAAAAAATATCGTTAACCGGGGGTCCACTGTACATGAGTGGGTTTGGGTGGGTGTGAGTTGGACCTGACTAGCTTGTGCTGCTGAGTCTGGTACAGTGCTCCATCCTTGAGTGGGGATGACCAGACTAGGTGGATCATTGGGATAATCCGGGGGGTGGGTCATTGGTCTAATCCAGGGGGGGGGGACATGGACCTGCTCCGCATGGGTCAGGAGGCCTGTTGCAGTGTTCCTTCTTTCTTATGTTCTTAGAACAGCGGGTGGTCTGACCAGAGGGAGGTCGGTGGTCCAAGAACCATCACACTGCTTTCAGGGAAGCCGGACACATTGTGCAAGGCGTGCTAGAAGCAGCGGCATGAACAGAAACAGGTGATGCCACAGCATCTGAAGCAGGTGATGAAGCGTCACCTGCAGGGGTATGAGAAGTCCAGAAAATGGTCCGATAACGAAGCCGGGTCATAACAGGGTGCGGGATCAGAATGAGGCCTGGGAGGAGGAAGAGTTTCACTGGGTGAAGACTCCTTAATAATAGGTGCATCTTTTGTGATATCTTCTTTCTTGGTCTTTTAAGAAAAAAAAGAAAAGAAAATAAAGAGGGACAATCACTAGGAGGCATGGAGGGGCCGAAAGCTCCTCCCCTCATCCAAGAGGGCCTTGAGCCCACTGGCAGTGAAGATGCAGCATGGAATCCATGCCATACCCTACCCTTCATGCCAGTAAACCAGCGCTCCAGGATAGACTCTCATCTACCATACTTTGGTGGACAAAAGAAAGAATGGTCGGAAAAACGCCACAAAGCATACTTCCTTCAGCTGCCACCCCCCAGAACCGACAGGCAGCTTCTGCCTGTAGGTTCTGAAGGGTACCCCACCCATGATCCAGAAATCCGGGAAGGGAGCAGGGCATCCTCAGACAATTCAGATGCTACGGTAAACACCACCACCCCCGAGGGACCTCACGGAGGTGGACGAACCCTAGCACGCCACCCCCACCTAGAAACTGAAATGACAGAGGGGAGGACCCCAGAAGCTACATGTGATGGGGAAAAAGAGGAAGGTTGGGACAGGGAAGGGAAGGGAAAAAAAAAAGGGGGGAGGGTATGGGGAGGAAAGGATAGGGAAGGAAGGACTGGGGGGTACTTAGACTTGGTCTAAGAAAGGAGACCAAAGGATTTGATTCGTGAGACCAAGAGCCTCTTCACCATGTCAAGGAGCCCCCCTTGAAGAGGACTACCATTATAGTATGCTCCTCACTTAGTGACGAATTCATTTAACGATGTGGTCTTAGAAATGGAACTCTGTTGTTAAGTGAGGAAGACAGGTTGACTTGGAGGGTGTATAAATCTGTAGTGGAGGGGAGGAGGGGTAGGGATTGTCCTAGGAAAGGATGGAGGGGGAGGGTAAGAGAGGTTCTGTGCACAAGGGGCCTGGACATGCAGCTGGCATGTGTGAGCGTGTTAGATAGGAGTGAACTGAGACAAATGATTTTTGGGACCTATTGAACTGATGGAGTGTGAGCAGGGTAATATTCTGTGAAAGGATTCAGGAAAACTGGTTAGCCAGATTTGAGTCCTGGAGATGGGAAGTACAATGCCTGCACTTTCAAGGAAGGGTTTGGGATATTGGCTCTTTGGAGTGACATCTAAACTGTCATGTCTGGTCACCTCTGCAAAGACTGGTTTTGTCTGAGTGATGGTGGAAGTGTTTCTTTCTTTCCTGAGTCACTCTGCCTCGGTGGGAGATGGCTGTCGTATAGAAAAAAAAAAAAAATCACAAAATGTGCTGAACCTGCATGGGTCATAAAAAGCCAAAATGCTGAGAGATGTTAATGACTAAGGGAAGTAATACAACAGACGAACAGGCAAGCTATTAAGGAAAGCTAGAAATGGCACAATAAATTTCTTTCAATCAAAAAGTCAAAGAACACATCTGAAAACAAGGCTTTTAGAAAAGGAGGGTGGGTAATGTGACAGCACCCAGGTACTGGACAACAGATCAAAAATGGCTCCAACAAGATCTCTGGTAAATGTGACAGTGAAGAAAAAGGTGTTGGGCTGTTAATGGCATTTAATATGGTGCAGAGGGGGGCACAAGACACCTCTCCAAGTGATAGTTGTGTGTTAGTCTTGCAAGACCAATTCAAAAACACGCAAGAAATGTTTCCCAAATGCAACAGGAATAAAAAGAGGTCGACCAAGAACCTGAATGTGGCTTGAGCTAGAACAACTTCTTGTCCTGTAACCTCGACCAACAATGTTGCCATTGTTTTCGAATGCTCTTAGACAAAACTGGAAAATAGTCCAAGTAGGGTAAATCTTTGCAAGAAATAGACAAGGCCAAGGCAGTGTAACATGCACAGGTCTGCTGAAGAGGCAATACAGCCAGCATTGAATGCAAAGAACAATGGAATGTGAGGAGCCGAAACTCTGGTAAGACTGCAATGATAATAAAAATTTAATCATATTAAGCACTAAACCCAAAAGGAAGTCATTACTATAATAATAAAAAAAGAGCTCAACCCAGGGCAGGGGGTGTTGCTGGAGCAGAAAGTAGTCATGGGTGGAAAGGATAACAGAGGTAGTTAGAAAGGGCTGTGAGGAGTGCTAAAGGTAGTATATTATCAAAGTTGGTGTAATAAATTGGTTGCTGTCAAAAAGTCAAAGAGGGAGTCTGAGTCAAAGGTGAGGCCATCAGCAAGGAGGGAAGATAAAGTAAGAGTGTTAGAGTGGTGACAACATCGGAGGTAAATTCTGCATGCTCGTTAAAAGACAGGACAGTCCAACAGAATATGGCACACTGAAACTGGAATGTGACAATACTCACAGACTGGAACGAGGCACCTCTCCATGAGATACCCGTGAATGAGACAGGTGTGCCCGATGCGAACATGGGAAAGCATAGTCTCCCAGCCTCAGAATTGATAAGAAGACCAGTCCATCAATCTTGATTGACGGACTGACCACATTGGCTCAAGGCTGAGGGACTGATTACCTCAAACTACTCCTGTACTTCAATGCTCTCCTTTGTATGGACTGATGAAGCCACTGTGTGGCGAAACGTTTCCTCAATAAAGATACCCAAGTGCTGCACATGTGTAATTTATCAACAGTGATGGGCTGCCAGATTCTGAGGTAATTTAGAATCTTATTTAGATTGAAAAAATGGAGGCTTAGCCTTAAAAAAAATTGCACCCCACCCTTGTTTTCCATTAACAGTATTATCTGCATAATCTCCATACTACAGGAATGTAGACTGAGGATGTAATAACAGCAATAAATATTTACTGTACGTGTGTTTTGTTTAATTTCAGTTCTGTGGTGGTAATCTTGAATTAACCATATTGTCTGAGGGTGGCAATGTCATACTCTGGATATCACAGTAAACATACCAAAGATAATTAATGAGCAGATAAACTAACACAATTTTAAGTAAAATTAAAATTTTTACCTTTAAGTTGCTGGAATAGGAAAGCATTGATTCAGTGTGATAGATCTCAATAGAATATAAATTTACAGTATTCTAGCTATGTAATCTGTAATGTTACACCTACTTAAAATTAATTTGCAAAGAATATCAGAATAATTAAAACAATACATTTAAAATTAGGAGATGTGAAGTTATTAGAAGTATTAGTCAGAGGGCTGAAGAGGGGCTGTTGAGGTGGTTTGGTCATTTAGAGAGAATGGAACGAAGTAGAATGACTTGAAGAGCATATAAATCTGTAGGAAAAGGAAGGTGGGGTGGGGTCGTCCCCAAAAAGGTTTGAGGGAGGGGGTAAAGGAGGTTTAGTGGGCGAGGGGCTTGGACTTTCAGCAAGCGTGCACGAGTTTGTTAGATAGGAGTGAATGGAGATGAGTGGGTTTTGGGACATGATGAGCTGTTGCAGTGTGAGCAGGGTAATATTTTGTGAAGGGATTCAGGGAAACCTGTTAGCCGGACTCGAGTCCTAGAAATGGGAAGTACAATGCCTGCACTTTAAAGGAGGGGTTTGGGATATTGGCAGCTTGGAGGAACATCTAAGCTGTCATATCTGAGTACCTCTGTAAAGACAGTGAATATGTATGAGTGATGGTGAAAATGTTGAATGGTGAAAGTTTTTCTTTTTTTGTTTGTTTTTTTCTTTCTTTTTGGGCCACCCTGCCTCGGTGGGAAACAGCCGACGTGTTAAAAAAAAAAATTATGATATGCCTCTGAAAATTATACGAAGCATAGCAGTCGGCATTTTAAGTTAAAATTGCTTTTGAACATTGGCAAAAAATGCCTTAAAACACTTAGTACTGATCTGTAAAAGTGAATACGAGCTTTAAACAATGGATTTTTTAATATATTTTATTTTCATTATTTTAAATATATAAACAGTTTTAAGATTCTCTTTTTACCAATGTTCAGATGTTGGGTTTGCCCTGAATACTTGGAATAATTCATATATTCTGTACTCACTTGCACAAAACTCAGGCAATGTTAAATGAATATTTGAAACAAGTCAGAAAAAATCTAAAGAAAAAAATATATACTGTATGTTTGTACAATCAATCATTAATTGTATAAAAGCAGATGCAATATTTACCTATCTGCTTACAGTGAATGTTTTATCAACTAAAAATATACATCTTTACACATATACAAATTTTCTGCTCATTATGACTAGATATTTGTTTAGATAAATAACCTAATATTGAATTACAGTTTTTCAGAAGATTCATTTATAGTGTAATAAGAAAAAGAAAATAGCACTGCCCACATGATAAAAAAAAGAAACTTAATGGTATCAAGAAAATCCCCTTTACATTATGTTAAACATAACTTTGAACGAGCACTGAAAAGCTAGTTAAAAAAAAAATCATTACTTCTTGCACTGTTTCCAACTTTTGGTAAGGTAGCATTTCCTGAGCTTGAGATTCAGAAAATACAAGAATTTTAATAATGATTTGGTGTGTGCACATCACACTGAATAATACTGTGTTAACCATGCCTAGCCATGGGTTTGAACTTTATGTCATGAGTTGTCAGTGGAGATGACTGTAAATACATAATGATATTACATTCATTATTGTAAATAATGAAGTACCAATCAGCTAAGCTGTTAGTTACTCCTATGTTTATCCACATACTGTACACTATATGAGCAATTTATTGTAATCAAAATACGATGGCAACTTGAAAAGTCTCCACAAAAAAATCTACAACTAGTTCCCTTCAAATATTTTAGATTCCACGCACTCATAAAATATGATCTGTTGAGGTATTCTGCATGTTAAGAGGTTTGTGCAAAGGTCAACCAGCTCTACAGCATTTGTAGTCTGTAAAGGCAGAGGTTTCAGAGGTCTACACTCAGGGAAAACTTCAATCATTGAAGAGTGATAGTGAAGTTGAGCATTATGAAAGAACTTATGACAAAAATATACTAAATAATTCAAAAGCTAAAATATCACAGGCATTTCATCTATTATATTTCAGTTTATATATAATTACTAAAGCTGCTCCATATATTTCTATATTTTTATAAAGGAAGACACATCTAAAGTTACAATTAATAATATGAAAATATTATAATAAATCTCAATTTTTATATGTTATGAAGCTATAATTTAAAAATTTATTAGCTAATTATCAGTAACATGATACTGTACTGTGTCCTGTTTGATCCACCTGACTGAAATGGTTATTAAGCCTCAGCTGTTTGATCCACTGGACTAAAACTGTTACTAAGCCTCTTGAACACCACATCTGATACACTGATACTAAGCCTCAGGAACACAATACTTTGTCCTAACTGTCTGATCCACTCGACTGAAAATGTGTTACCAAGCCTCAGGACAAAGATAGTGTATCTTAACCCTTTGATCCACTTGGCTAAAAATGTGTCACACTCATTAACATAACTGGTACTGCTGTTCATGAACATGTCATTCCTATATAAAAACATATACACTATTTTCATAAAGTTTAACATGCTAAAACTTAGTAAAAATAGTTTTTCTCACTGAAAAAGTTGTTTTAAAGAAGAATTCAGTCTTCTATAGTTTAAGATTGTGCGACAGAATACACCTGCTGTGACTACTAGCAACAAATGGTATATTCCAACTAAAAAATACTTCCATCACTTAAGGCGCTCAAATTAAAACAAATTAAAAGATACAGCAAATTACAAGTCAAGAGAAAATTTTATGTAAACTTATGAAAGTTCCTGAGCCATTATTTTCCTATTATGCATAGTACATAAATTAATAGTGTAAATCAGACTAGATTAAAATCCTAATGGTCTTTTTTTCCTGTATTCCAAAAAATTAATAAAAAAGTCCCTTGTGGAATTACAATTGAAGCAACCTTTTTCTTTATCACTTACATCACTGAATAGACAATGCAACTTTCACCAATGATTTGTGAGAAAACTCAATGGAATTAAGTTGATATCTTGTAAACTATCAACATAATTCTCTATATTCATGTCTGCTTACTTTCATTGAGACATCTATTCTCTTTCTTCATATAAAACAAATATACTTCAAGGTAATCATATCCTCTAATTTACTTCTCTTGTGATATTTTAAGAGAAATATTCTAGACAAGATTACCCTCTGAACACCTCTAGTTATGATACACAGCCTCTGAAATCACCAGTTGAAGGATGTCATAAGCCATATGACTGTAGTCCTGCCCCAGCATTTCTTCTACTTGAGTGATGGCTTCTCCAACCACACATCCTTCTCGCTCTTGGGCTTCTCCCAAGTGGTGATAGGCTGCAAGTGATGATCATGTATCAAGATATCATGTACAATATTGATTTTCATAATTCATCATTGTTATTATAGTCATGAAGAAGCACTAAAACTGCAGGGGTCATACAGTCTGAGAAATGGGAAGCAATCAGTATGATCCAAGGTTCAGGCAGCTCCAATGCCTTGCATAAAGCCCTTCACCAGCATCAAAGCATCCCTCTTAAAGCATTTTCACAATTCAGTTGTGAGAAAAATAATTTATATACAATGATGAGCCTCCCTCAAATTATTTTTACCTCTTCTAAAGAATGATCTTAGAAAGGGTTAATCATTATTATTACAGTATATTCATTTTGGAAAGTTGAACTCACACTGCTTGTACAGTATTATAACCAGAAAAAAGCACTAAACCTGTTGGGATTTTACAGCAAATTTTGTTGAAAATTTTGTTGAAAATAAGAAAAAGTTTTGGAGTGAGATTAACAAGTTAAGGAAGCCTAGAGAAAAAATGGATTTGTCAGTTACAAATAGGAGGAGAGTTATTAAATGGAGAGTTAGAGGTATTGGGAAGATGGAGGGAATATTTTGAGGAACTGTTAAACGTTGATGAAGATAGGGAAGCTGTGATTTCGTGTATAGGGCAAGGAGGAATAACATCTTGTAGGAGTGAGGAAGAGCCAGTTGTGAGTGTGGGGGAAGTTCATGAGGCAGTAGGTAAAATAAAAGGGGGTAAGGCAGCCGGGATTGATGGGATAAAGATAGAAATGTTAAAAGCAGGTGGGGATATAGTTTTGGAGTGGTTGGTGCAATTATTTAATAAATGTATGGAAGAAGGTAAGGTACCTAGGGATTGGCAGAGAGCATGCATAGTTCCTCTGTATAAAGGCAAAGGGGACAAAAGAGAGTGCAAAAATTATAGGGGAATAAGTCTGTTGAGTATACCTGGTAAAGTGTATGGTAGAGTTATTATTGAAAGAATTAAGAGTAAGACGGAGAATAGGATAGCAGATGAACAAGGAGGCTTTAGGAAAGGTCCCCTCAAGGAAGGTTCCTTGATGCTGGTGAGGGGCTCTTGATCTAGGGAACTGGATCTGTGCTCCAGTTCCCTGAGTTAAACCTGAATACCTTCCATCCCTCCCCCAAGCACTGTATAATCCTATGGGTTTAGTGCTTCCCCCTTGATTATAATAATAATAATTTAGGAAAGGTACGGGGTGTGTGGACCAGGTGTTTACAGTGAAACACGTAAGTGAACAGTATTTAGATAAGGCTAAAGAGGTCTGTGTGGCATTTATGGATTTGGAAAAGGCGTATGACAGTGTGGATAGGGGCGCAATGTGGCAGATGTTGCAGGTGTATGGTGTAGGAGGTAGGTTACTGAAAGCAGTGAAGAGTTTTTACGAGGATAGTGAGGCTCAAGTTAGAGTATGTAGGAAAGAGGGAAATTATTTCCCAGTAAAAGTAGGCCTTAGACAAGGATGTGTGATGTCACCGTGGTTGTTTAATATATTTATAGATGGGGTTGTAAGAGAAGTAAATGCGAGGGTCTTGGCAAGAGGCGTGGAGTTAAAAGATAAAGAATCACACATAAAGTGGGAGCTGTCACAGTTGCTCTTTGCTGATGACACTGTGCTCTTGGGATATTCTGAAGAGAAGTTGCAGAGATTGGTGGATGAATTTGGTAGGGTATGCAAAAGAAGAAAATTAAAAGTGAATACAGGAAAGAGTAAGGTTATGAGGATAACAAAAAGATTAGGTGATGAAAGATTGGATATCAGATTGGAGGGAGAGAGTATGGAGGAGGTGAATGTATTCAGATATTTGGGAGTGGACGTGTCAGCGGATGGGTCTATGAAAGATGAGGTGAAACATAGAATTGATGAGGGGAAAAGAGTGAGTGGTGCACTTAGGAGTCTGTGGAGACGAAGAACTTTGTCCTTGGAGGCAAAGAGGGGAATGTATGAGAGTATAGTTTTACCAACGCTCTTATATGAGTGTGAAGCATGGGTGATGAATGTTGCAGCGAGGAGAAGGCTGGAGGCAGTGGAGATGTCATGTCTGAGGGCAATGTGTGGTGTGAATATAATGCAGAGAATTCGTAGTTTGGAAGTTAGGAGGAGGTGCGGGATTACCAAAACTGTTGTCCAGAGGGCTGAGGAAGGGTTGTTGAGGTGGTTCGGACATGTAGAGAGAATGGAGCGAAACAGAATGACTTCAAAGTGTATCAGTCTGTAGTGGAAGGAAGGCAGGGTAGGGTCGGCCTAGGAAAGGTTGGAGGGAGGGGGTAAAGGAGGTTTTGTGTGCGAGGGGCTTGGACTTCCAGCAGGCATGCGTGAGCGTGTTTGATAGGAGCGAATGGAGACAAATGGTTTTTAATACTTGACGTGCTGTTGGAGTGTGAGCAAAGTAACATTTATGAAGGGGTTCAGGGAAACCGGCAGGCCGGACTTGAGTCCTGGAGATGGGAAGTACAGTGCCTGCACTCTCAAGGAGGGGTGTTAATGTTGCAGTTTAAAAACTGTAGTGTAAAGCACCCTTCTGGCAAGACAGTGATGGAGCGAATGATGGTGAAAGTTTTTCTTTTTCAGGCCACCCTGCCTTGGTGGGAATCGGCCAGTGTGATAATAAAAACAATAATAAAAATATAATTAGTAATGGGAAGAAATAAAGTTTAATCCAAGAGAGGGAAGGACTGGTTCACTTTCCTGGATGCAGAGCCCCATACTAACATCAAGGTATTTACCTTAAAGGGATAGGAATCATACAGTGTCTGGGAAAATAAGAGGTAATCATTTTTATCCAAAAAAGGGTAGAGTAGATCCAATTCCTTGGATCAGAAGCCCCTCACTGGCACTAAGGAGCCTCCCTAAAGGGAAGCAAAGGTTAACCAGGTTACACTTAATATGAAAAATCTGAGGATGTTAATCTCTAACCTCTCATGAAGAGCTCTAGACCAAGGATATCCTCAAGTTTAGCCCTCTGTTCTTCAATCCATCCATACACACCACCACCACCACCTGATACCACAGCTCCATCACCATCTGAAATCAACAATATAAAACTAAGAAATTCAATGCACAAGACACTGTGTAGCATAAGAATTTTAGTTTCCATCATCTGAGAGTTGTATTCAAAAAGTACCAAAGCTTACTTACCTAAGTGCCAGACTTCAGATGATGTACATGTTGAAATGAGGGATTTAGTGTCACACGTACTCAGCTGTTCCCTTGAGTTAAGCAGCAGCTCCATTGATTGCCGCAAATTTGCAAAGTCCTCGCTCTCTTCGTCTGATGCTGTACTATTATCCTCCTCATTTGAATTATCTGTATATATATAATCCTTGTCTCTAGCTCTAGATTTTGTTTCACTTTCTCCTGTGATACCTTTGCCTTGTAAATGAACCTTATTCTTTGAACATTCATACTGCATATTATTTTGTGGTACTGATAAAGCAGATCCTTGACTGAGTATATAATTTTGCTCTCTGGTGAATTTTAATACATCTTTGTTGCTATTTAAAAGTATTCCTTCATTCTGCAACATTTTTAAGTTGAGTGAAAGCTTTAAATCAGTAATGAGCTCATTATTGTTAGAACCAATACACAGCAGAGTAGGCCTTGGCCTGACTGCACTATTAGTCACTTTAGAATGTTTATTTATTTGATAAGGTACCTTATCAGAAAAAGAATTATCATTAGGAAACTCTGTTGCATCAGTCTTACCTTCTGAAACTATCTTCTGATTATTTCTAGATACATAATCTTCAGAGATATTAGTCAGCCTCTCTGTGTCCTCTTTACTGGTCTCACATTTTTCACTTTGTGAAGATCCTGGTACTGATAAACATACCTGATTAAAGCCTGGCAAGTCATCACTTCCACACTGGTGCTGCAAATCTTGACCTTTAACCTCACCAGAAGAGTTCATATTAATGTGAATATTCCTAGGTGTTATTGGACTGATGTCCCGATATCTTTCCATTGTATCGTTAATAGACGCTTGTCTCCCTGCCCTTTCTATTACCTCTAGTAAAACTGTGTGAGCTAAGTCTTCAACGACATCAACAGAATCATTTTCAATTTTCGTAGAATAATCTCCAGTAACCACTGATATTTTACTGTCTCTAATGTATGGTAATGTATTATTCTCCTCTAATGGAATAAGATGTGCATCATCTTTCACAGCTACAGAAGTAATTCCTTCTGTTACACTTGACACAGTATAATCACTCTGTGTATCACTGGATGACTGGCATGTAAAATCAGTTCTTTGTGTATCTATGCCACTATCACTTGATGCACTATCAACATTAGTGGCAGAAGACAAGTCACTTTTACTAACTAAATCTTCTACAGTATTAAGACCCATATTTTTATCACTGTGTCTGAAGTATGTACATTCCTCAGTTGCCTGAGTTTTTGTTTGCATAAACTCAAATTTCTGTTTATCAAAATCTCTCTCTCCTACAACAGATGATTCATTACTTTCAGTATTCACTGACATTTCCTTTCCTCTACAATGTTCACAGTTTTCAGTGCTCAAATTTTGTTCAGTATCCATGATCTGACTAGAAGTTCTTGTAAACCTGCAATCTATCATAGTAGATTCACTTTTTGGAGAATTGGCTCTCTTTTCAACTCCAGGATTTTCAAACAACAAATAACCCTTGTCCTCATTTTTACTCCTTTCATTATTTTCAACAACTGTGTTAGCAGTTTTAGAATTTGTACATTCTTTGCTTCCAAAATTTTTAGTATGCTGCACAAGTGCACAACTTTCTCCTGATGAATCATTATCACTGTTAGATTTGTCACAAATTTCAGTGCTTTCAATGATACCTTTTTCCAGAGCATCAGCAGCTTCTGAATTAATGTCCTGCCGGGAAGATAATTTTTGCAAAATTCCCGCAAGTCCAGACTTAATCATTTTCTTTTTCACAACTGGTATATTCCCGTCTTTAGACGAGCATAATTCTGAAGTTATTTTCTTCCTTATCTTTTCTTCTGCAGATTCAGAAACACTGTTTGCAACGATCAGTTTCCGCTTTGGTCGTGGTGACATGTGCATGCGTAACATGCCAAGTAATCCACCTTTTGTCTTTTTCAATGTATTATTACTCTGCCTGTTTGAAATTGTAAAAGTTACATCAGAAATACTTTCATTAATGGTATATGTTTCATTCAAACATTTCCCATTATTACAAGCTGTTTCTATTTCCTCCTGAGCTTTTATTTTAGTGCCTGTTACACATGCTGAGCTTCCATTTCTACCTTCTTCCTCTTTATTTTCAACTTTAAAATCATTGCTATTTGAACTTCCACCATATCCAACATTACAAGTTGTTTTATCCAAGTTTGTATTTTTATGACAATTATTATCACTAGCTTGTACTGCATTACCTACGGTCACTCCAACATCTGTTTTACAGATCTCTTCCTTAGTCCTACTTAGAATATTATCATCATTATTGGTCCCTTCATTATGAATTTCAAATGTTCTATTTATTGTAGATGGATGATATATTAAATGACTATACTGAAGTGAAGGAGTCTCACAGCTTAAAGTTTGAGCATTGGGAGAGGAATCTGAGGTGAAATTACTTGGTAAATTTTTACAGTCACTATCACATTCCTGTAAAGAAACAGTGAATGTTGAATTCATTACTGCAGATTTATTTGAGATATCTAAATGTTTACTGTTGGAGATGTGTGCTTCTGTATCTAATATTTCCATGGTATCAATTTTACATTCTTGCCTTTTAATATGTTTTTGAATCATTGGACTTTCAATGATCTGGGCTTCAGACAGTACACTTATAATATCCTCACAATTCTTTGTCCACTGCTTACGTTCACCTACTTCCTTAAACACAACTACTAAGTCTGATGAGGATGTTAAATCCATTTTTGACCCAGAAGATTCTAATGGAGAGTTTTCAAGGCCAGATATATTGATGTTTCCCCAGTGTGGACGTCTGTTTGGAGTTATAGAGCGTGAACTTGGTAAGCTCTGAGAGGAGTTAGATTTTTCAGAGATTCCTTCAACATTTACTAAAGTGACATTTGATGAAGACTGAATATTTGTTTTTGATGAAGTAGATCCTTCATTTATAATTTCATATATCTGAACATCATCAGTGTTGGTTTTATTTTTGCAAATATTTATTAGGGAAGAAATACTTCTCCTTGCAAAAGCCTTTTCATCTTCATTACCAACAGAAAGAATATTTTCTATGGCAATTAGAGATGGTTTATGATTTTCATTTGGTACAAGATTTCCAGATACATTTTCAATCAAATTTTCTTTATCTGTATTAGTTAGTATCTCATTTAATATTGTTTCTTCTTTGGGCAGTAAGCATTTCCAAACTTGATTCTTTGGTTTAGTCGACCCATCACCACAAAATTCTTCATCAGGCTGCCTAACTTCTTTGTTATCCATCTGAACATTCACTGAAGGCTCATTGGCAACTTTGCTATGAAGTGTGTCTTCACCTTCCTTGTACACCTTATTAGCTAGCTCAACTTTACTCTCACATGGAAACCAATAGCTACTGGGACTTTCATAAGGCTGAAAGTCTTCTTTTATTTCTATTTCATAGTTTGCATTATGTTTATTCAGGCTTTCTAAAAGTAAAATGTCTTCTTCATGCTTCACAATTGCAGACTCAAGCTTTTCTTTATGATATGCCCATTGGCGTCTCTCTGACACCATCTGGTTCATCTTCTCTGTACGTTCTTGCAACAATTTCTTCATTTTCTCGTGCATTAACACTCTCACTTTATCAGCTGATAAAGCTGGGAAGTCTTCATTGTCATCCTCGTCACTACAATTGCTACAATGTTGCTTGAGGGTTTTATTTGCTAACTCTTTCACATCCTTTCTATTTGTCTCTTGCAGTTGCTCATCAGAACTACTGTGTGTTTGATCTATCTCAATGTGATCTGCATTATGTGCATGAGAAACAGTCTTATTTTCTGCTCTTCCACTTGATTTTGAGGATCGGCAAACATGAATATCCTTACTCACCCAGCACATGTCATATTTAGTGGTGGAGAAAAATCTTGTAGGAGTACCACTCTCAAGTGAGGCAAATTCACTCTCTGAAGAATCAGTGGGTATCAAGGCTTCTACAAATTTTCGGTCATTGTATGCAGCTTGCAATTTCTTGGATAAAAATTCATCCACAAGCCAACCTTCAGCCCCAGGCGATTTATTAGATTCTTCCTTATCCTTTGATTTACACGAGTTTTGATCAGTATTACTTCTCTTTCTGTTTAAATCATCATTTTTCTTAAACCCAGCACTATCCAGCATCAACTTTAATTTCACTGGTGATAGTGCCTTCTTTTTGGCATTCTGGTTCTGATGTTTTGAGTTACTTTGTTTGAATGCATGGGGTACTGATTTAGATCTGCCTTGGGATCTCTTTTCAGTATTTTCTGCTAGTTCAGCTTTTCCTGCATTTTTCACCAAAAGGCTATTCTCACTTTGGTATTTTTTCCGATGCTCTTGGTTAAGCCCAGCTATTTTAGTTTGAGCCACACCAATTGCCTTCTTTGTTCCAGAAATGGCTTGTCTAGAAAATTTTGAGGATGATTTTGTGGGAGACCTGTAAGTATTCTTTTTATTGAAGGACTGGCTGATTCCATATTTAGCAGAAGGATCTGTTATGTCATGTGGACGCTTCATTACTGGAATTTTGCGTGCTGAAGCTGGTAAAACACACCTGCGTTTCATCAAAGAGGCCTTTAATTCTTCTTCTTCACATCCAGAAATGAAGCGAGGAACTTTTTTTAAAATGAATGTTCTGCGGAGAATAACAGATATAGATGGTCTTACTTGTGGCTCCCTCTGAAATATTTGCCCAAGCAGCAAACGAAGATCCCGACTGTAACGAGTAGGAACAGGTTGGTATATACCTCTTATTATTTTGAGTATGAGTGTCTTCATATTGTTAGCCTCGAATGCATGCTTAAGCGTCATCATCTCATACAAAACACAACCCAAAGCCCAAATATCACTTTTGTTGTTATATGGCTTATTTTCACACATTTCTGGTGACAAATAATATGGTGTACCAATGCATGTCCTTGCCAGATCTGAAGTACTATTCAGAACTTTAGCAATGCCAAAGTCCCCCAGCCGAATCTTACCATCATCTGTCAGAAAGATATTTTGAGATTTGATATCACGATGGAGTATTTTCCGATCATGGATATATTTTATGGCTAGGCAAAGTTGAACAAACCAATCAAGAACTCGCTCCTCAGGAAAAAGAACACCTTTTCTACTTGTAATTAGTGTGTGAAGGTCTCCACCACCACAGTAATCCATTGCTATCCTTAAACGGCCATTTTCTTCACAAGAAGCCCGGAACTGTGTGATATATGGGTGTGACAAGCTTGACAAGACCTGCAACCATATTTGGAAATTATAAAAAAAATCCCAAATGCAGACTACTGTATATTAAAAGAAGAAATGCTGTTCACACAATACCATATATAAGAAAAAAAGCTTGTCCATACAGACAAAAAAAAATACACTGCTCATTCTTACAACATCCTTCTACTATAAAAAACTAAATGATTATTAAGAGAGAGAGAATATGTTGTTATTGTATTCAAAAAATTGTACCAAACCCATAAAGAGAACTTTAAAAAAATTTTGTCTAAAAAGCTGTGATTTAATTACAAGGGTCCCTTAAGTTACAATATTAATCCATCCCAGAAGATGTATACCTCAAAACAATCTTAACTCAAACCCCAAAATACATGGTTTTGTGGTAATTTATTCCAAGACACCGGAAGTGCAACTTTTACTATACCTTGGACTTACACACTCAAGATATAATTTTCAGGCACCTTTTCCCTTCATCTGCTTCTCCATTATCCACAATTATGTCTTTCCATCTCTATTATAATTTCTCTGGAAATATGTCACTTTGTCTTTTTTGGGTTATCCTAGGTTCTCTACACATATGCTGCTATGTATGATAATCTATGTAACTGGATTTGTGTATACTTGAATAACCTTATTTACTCTGCCTCTTATTCATTAGCTTAAATTCATCAACCACTTAAATAATCTTTATGAATTCTATATGCTTGATAACAGTAGAGATGGTTGATTGTGGAAAGCCATACTCTCACACCGATTCACTAATTCTAACTCCATGTTTTTTCACTAATTTTTTGCCTGATCTTTAGAGAAATTGCCTGTTTACTACACACTTTAGGGCCCAGGATGTCTTGATAATGCAAAAGATGGAGTAAATATAATACAGATTCAATTATGAAGGGTAAATAATCCAGAGTTGGTGCAGGGAAACACATGTGATAGCTTCAAACTGAAGAGGACACCATAAACTCTAGTACAGTGGACCCTTGGTTATCAGCCATTCCGGATATCGGCCAATTCAGTTTTCATCCGCATTTTTGGTCGAAATTCTATACTGGCTACAGGCTGTTATTTCAGAGATCAGCCATATTGGATGCGTCCACCTGCTGCTCCACCGGGTTCTTGAGCCAGTCTGGCTGTGTCTCTGGGTGAGTGAGGAAGATTCCGCGCATTCATCCAAACATTTCGCTATAATCCATTGTTTTCTGTGGTTACTGATTGAGTGCAACTGCAAAATAAGCCACCATGGGCCCAAAGAAAGTTCCTGGTGCCAGCCTTTTGGTAAAGAAAGTGAGAAACATGATAGAATTCAAGAAAGAACTCCTAGCAAAATACGAAAGTGAAGGAGGAAGAGAGAGGGGAGAATGTGCCTTCTTTAGTGATTCAAGTGATTCTACGATATGTATGATATGTATGATATGAGTCAATAAAGGCTATAGCACCAGCCAGCGGTAAATGTAGCAAGTAAGTTAAGTGGTTAAGCGATAGAAAAAGGACGACACGAAACTGACTCCTCCAATGCTGTTGGAGGTATATAGGGCCATTGACAATATATGCCGCCCTGCATATCTTCCACCACTCTAAACCAATGCCAGCATCTCCTCCAAGGTAAGTGTAAACATTTCTTATTTTTTTTTTTTTCAACAAGTCGGTCGTCTCCCACCGAGGCAGGGTGACCCAAAAAAGAAAGAAAATCCCCAAAAAGAAAATACTTTCATCATCATTCAACACTTTCACCACACTCACACATTATCACTGCTTTTGCAGAGGTGCTCAGAATACAACAGTTTAGAATCATATACGTATAAAGATACACAACATATCCCTCCAAACTGCCAATATCCCAAACCCCTCCTTTAAAGTGCAGGCATTGTACTTCCCATTTCCAGGACTCAAGTCCGACTATATAAAGTGTAAATATTTCTAATTTATCAATTAAAGTGCAAATATTTCTTATTTATAAATTACGTACATTGTTTCAGTTTTGGTGGTCTCTGCTGCCACTGCCACCACCACCACTATATGTACAGCTTATGCTGTCAGTGGCCCTTATAAACCCAACGCCACCACCACTACATAATGACATTTTATTCATTCTAGAGTGTATATCATGTTTCTGTGTTAGTAATATTGTTTATTATGTCATATTAGATGAATTTTGATAGATAAATAAGCTATAGGGTTGATAATAGCATCATATTTTAGCATTTTGTCCTGTCTCCAAACAATAAACTCGCCTCCCTCTCCGCTCCTTGCTGTTTTGCATATGCCAACAAGACTCTTCAATAAAGATAAAAGTGATTTAAATGTTCATTTATCTACTTCATTACTTATTTTATTTAGTTCTCATTATTTTGTGTATGTAAAACTATAGTTAATCTTTAAAAAAAATTATTTTTTGTTAATATTTTTGGGTGTCTGAAGCAGATTAATTGTATTTACATTAATTCTTATGGTAAATATTATTTCGGTTTTTGGTCATTTCGGTTTTAGGCTGACCTTATGGAACGGATAACCGAGGGTCCACTGTACAATCTCTGCTATTGGTTAAGATGTTACCACAGAAACATTCAACCCGATTGTTGACTGTTAAGCTACCCCTCTCAAACCCACACTCCTATTAACTCAGACACTATCCTAGAGGCAAGCTACCACATTGCTGCTTGGCTGAGGTCAACCAACACACGCCAACCAAAATAATAATAAAGCTTATTTCTACAAGTACATGATACAAGTATTACAAACCTAGCTGAGATCATTGGTATACTAATGTATATAGAAAATACCTGGTTGTGCAAAGCACTCTGGGCACCTAAGGTAAATCTTGTTTCTTAGGATGCCACCAGCAATGGTCATCTAACACCCTGTTACCTACTTACTGATAAGTGAACAGTACCAGAAGCTGTAAGGAAACATGCCCTATGTTTCACTCATCCTAAGATTGATCCCTAAACATCAGTGTGACAGCTGAGGACACTATTAACCAAGCCATGAGCACCAGCGCATGCATACAGTAATTGTACCTCTCATTTTTCATCGCAACTCAAAATTATTGTAAATGAAGCCTATTATAACTCAAGGGACCACTGTACTTGTTTTTAATTGTTCTGAAATTAGTCTGCTGTAAAAAGGAAAAACATGAAAATGCAGTGGATTTATTTAAAATGCCGTATTTCGAGGCTTATAAGATGTGGCTTGTAAGACTTGTCTTAGTTTCAGTGTCTCGGTATCAGACATAACTGGGAGAGCAACAGCCCACTCCACACCCCAAACTTACAGCTCCCATCACTGACCTTCAGTTTATAGGACGCAGGGTGGTTTTTGGAGACATTTTATGGAGAAAAAAAAGTGTCTAATAAGCCGCGAAATACGGTAATCATAATTAGATGTAAAGAGAGGAAGAAAAACTTTGAACAGGAAATAGTAGACAAAGGCAAAGTAGAAAACTGGTAAAAAGTAAATTAAAAGTAGAAGACAGAATACAAAGAATAAATGACAATGGCAAAATCTCTGGAACTCTCTGCAGAAGATTAAGTTCCCTTTCTGCCAACTGCTTCCAGATTTGATGGGAATTTACAAAGCTTTAATATAAATGTCAAATTATCTAGCATAACTTGCTTATCCAGCTTTCAATCAGCATTTATATTCATGCACTTATAATCACCACTTTATTTCTACCCCAGTAATTATAACTAAAACTGCAATATAATTTTGCCATTATCTCTTCCTATTTACAATGCTGATTTAATATAAGTACCATTTATAGCTTTGTTACTTAAAATGCTCAATTATTATCTCACATATACACAACTTGATCCTACCATTCAAATATCCTAATTTCAACAAATGTTTGCTCAGTATTCATAGCTAATTCATATGTCAGCGTAAGTTTCATGACCTCTGAGCCACTAAGTGTCCACCAAAACTACAGTTATAAGTTCTACAAGGCCCATCATTCAGTACAGTTTGAGTTTTTATTTCCCCCAAAATGATCTTAGTTATATTTGGATATGATGGAAGGATGTGAGAGTTGCAGGATTCAGAAAAACTGGCTAGCCAGACTTAAATTCTAGAGGTGTGAGATACAAAATCTGAACTCATATGGATGGGTGAGAAAGGGGCATTTCAATGGGTCACTGGAGATATGATGTTATCACTTTTTGGAAATATAGCTAGGGAATGAGTGCTGGTGAATATGGTATTCTTTGGGATCTGCCTAGATGAAAACAAATGCTGCTAAGAAGGCTATACATTATTTTAAGTAGTAGTGTACATACTGCACAAGTTAAAAGCAAGCTAAATAACCCTATACATATGATAGAAGAATCATTTTGAAAATATGTATTAATCACACTGCACAATTTCTTATCAGGTAACAATGCACATATGCTCAAAATGTACTCAATAATATTTTTCCTGCTGTTTCCATATTGGAAATTTTCACAAGATGTTAGAGTATAACTCCCCTAAGTTTTAAACAAAGCATGCACAAACTCCCTAAAACTGCCACGAAACCACTGCACTACTGCATGAGGAAACTGTCAGGTCACTATTAAAGAAACCTTTACCTTAACTTCTCGTCTTGCTTCTTCGAGTTCTTTCGCTGACATGTGGGAGATATTAATTTCTTTTATAACACATTTTGTGTCTGAAGGAATGTGAACAGCTAAATGTGCTGAGCCGTAGGACCCTAACCCTAGCTGCCGAAGAATTTTATAGTCCTCCATATTCAATCTGAAAAATAATGTGGTCTTATTTATACATGGAATGCAGTCAATGTAATTACTGAATGTTAAATAAAATACCATACATAAAATAACAGATAATATTGAGATTAGAACCTGTCAGAGCTCAGTCTTCATTTTACTGTAAAAGTTACAAGGAAGCATCCCTACCCCAACATTAATAGTTATTTCTTGTATAAATTCTTATGTTGGGAGATACTACTAGCAAAAATAATACCTTCATACATAATGAAATGCACTTCAAGAAGGTTAAATGTGCTTGGGAAGAGCCAATCCTCTGTTAGTATTCAGTCATGTGACATGCCTTGCCAATCATGAGATGACTCATCTTGACTAGTTACCACAAAAAATTAGTTCTATTTGACATCAGGACAAATTAAATATTTACCAAAATAACTACAAGTGTGTCCAGAGTACACAAAAGTTTCTTTTCTATAAATACTGGATTATATCTGGAGTACTGTAAAGTACTCATTGTTGTATATAATTATTATTATAATCAAGGGGAAGAAATAAACCCATAATGGATCATCTATCACAAAACTCACAGAGGGAAAATTCCTAGGAATCCACCTTGATAACAGACTCAAATTTCAAACACATATACAACAAATTTCCAAAAAAATTTCCAAGACCGTAGGCATACTATCGAAGATACGGTACTATGTTCCACAGTCAGCCCTTCAGGCCCTATATCACTCACTTATTTACCCCTATCTCACCTATGGAATTTGTGCATGGGGCTCAACAACAATAAACCATCTCAGACCACTAATCACCCAACAAAAGGCTGCAGTCAGAATGATGATAAATTCCCACTACAGACAGTACACTCCACCAATATTCAAAACTCTAAACCTACTCACAATACAAAACATCCATACTTATTACTGCACCTACTACATACATAGAACACTTAACTCTGACATAAACCCTCCCCTCAAACATCTCCTTACCAACCTCAACAGAATATATAACCATAACACAAGACACAGATCAATCTTTGATGTTCCTCGTGTCCATCTCACGCTATGCAAAAACTCAATGCACATAAAAGGTCCTAAAATCTGGAATTCATTACCTGTGAATATAAAAGAAACACTGTCTGTTTATAAATTGAAGTCTCTTCTCAAAAATCACTTACTCACCCACAACTAAATAAATACTGAGTAATTGTATCTCATAAATTGTATCTCATATATGTATCTCATTATTGTATCTCATAAATGTCAACCTGTGACTCAATCAAACTTTGTTACTATTTAACTTCATTACCTAACATAATACTCCATTCTACTGATTACACAACAACACAGTAAATGACCATATGACCTGTCTTTGTAATACTCATTTGTACTAAATTGTTATCTGTTTTACAATAATTTTTGTACCACAGAATATATCATTGCTTAGTTAATCTTAAGTTAATTTTAAGCTGCCCATAATGCTCTGCATACAAGGGGCTTTGGCATGCTGCATTTTGCTGTATTCTTTTGTACTTCACTGTATCATTTTCAAATTAATAAAAAATGGTCAAAGGGTGCTCAGGCAATGGGAGGAAATCAAGTCTGATACAAGAAGGACTAACCATGCCCACTATCCATTCTACCCAGGTTCTTCCCGGGTGATGGGAAGCTGACCTTTATACAGGTTTTACTATGATGTTAAGTGTGCAAAAAACAGTAGTGTCTACAAAAATATCCTAAGCATTCAATGTATTTATATTTTAATCTTGTTTAATGTAGACAAATGTATATATCAGTTGGTAGCTGGAAGAGCAGCATCAATCTCTTATCTCTTTATCAATTATTTCAATTCATAATATAAAATATTTTATTAAAGTAGAATTACTTGAGAATATAACTATTTTGAAGCTCCTTGTGAAACTTGTGTTTTTATAAGTAATAGTAACAAAAACTGATCCATTTTTATCATGGAACAAATTACTGTTAAAGTTTTTTAAGCCAATTTAACATTGGTTTTATAAGAAGAATTATAAGCTATAATAATGATTCTGAGGCCCTAATGATGATAATGACATAAATATATGTATTTATTTATTTCCAATTTGTGCACACATACAGAGGTACAAAAATGTATATATAATTAACTGTGGAAGCTCAATAAAGAATACAGTATTACTAAAGATAAGGATTAAAGTTAAAAATGTATATAATCATAGAGAAACACAAGCCACTGGAAATAAGTCATTCTGATTTTTTTTCTGGGGGGGGGAGGTGGTGGGTAATTTACGCTTTAGGTTACCAGGTATAACTTGTATTACAGTAAATCACTTCAACAAGAACTGACAACCACAGTAAACTGAGGTGAGTAAATAAGAACTATCAGGCGCAACTGTAGCATAAATAATTTATTTTGGAAGTAATTTATAATTGTTAGACAAGAGTTTTAAGTTACCGTGAGTGTTCCATGGCTGCGGACACCCACGTAGCAACCTTACAACACTTGTCTATGTGTTTTTCTTGCAACTGAGTGATGTCTCATAGCTAGATGACTCTACCATACATGCACATGTTTAAGAGCTTCCTCTGTGGATGACTGCAACAGTTGTAGAGGTGTGGCAGGTGTGTGGCAGTGTGTGTGTGTGCAGCAACACCCTCATAACAAGTGTCTCAGCTGGTGTGGTCAACGTTGTGTTCTATTTTGTGGTTACTGTCTTAGGTTTAAATTTTTTCCTAGCATGAAGGGGTCATTAAGGTCAAAATCATCATAATCACTAACATCAAAAGCATCTTAATATCTAAAAGTATGGATTAAAGTAAACTATCCGAAAATAAACACCGAGTCTTATATACATCTTAGTGTATATTCACTGACATTGTAATATTTTCTTTTATCTTGAGCAATAACAAACAGGTTTTATATATATGTATTAGTTTATTCTGATAAGAAATATATTTTACGTGTCAAAGCTGAAAACAATCATACATATATTCAGCGTTCTCATAAGAATGTAAAATATTTACATATTTAGAACAACAAAGCCAATGTCAAACGTTGACGCTTTTGTAAATTACTTTATAACTGGACTATAAACCAGTTAAATAAATTATATAAAAATCGATCCATTTCAAGCAACCTTTAATCTTACGATAATAACAAATATTATATTTAAAAATAAATACCAAACAAGTATGAGTTAGTGGAGTCAATAATTAGAGATTGTGTAAAACAAGATGTGTTTTAGCCGCTACATGATCCGGAATTCTTGTATCACTTAAGCCCAGCCCTGCCTACCCTTTAATCTGAAGAAGGTATCCCCGTATCCCTTAAGCCCAGCCTTGCCTAAACCTATAATCCCTGTATCTATAAGTTAAGCCTTTTCCTGCTCCAATGATCTGAGAAGAGTATCCTCGTATGTCATAAGCTCATCCCAGCCTACTCCAAAAATCTGAGAAAGGTATCCCCGTATAAGTCTAGCCCTGCCCATCTACCCCAGTGCACGCACAAGGAATCTACCTGGAGTCTACCTAGTGTTGTTCCGGGGGTCAACCTCCTTGGTGCGGTGAAGAGGCTCTTGGTCTGAGGAATTAGACCTTTTGGTCTCCTTCCTCAGGTCAAACCTAATTACCCCCCAATCCCCCTTTCACTATCCCATCCTCCCCATCCCCTTTTCCCTTTTCCACCTCCTCTCCCGATCCCTTCCCTGTCCCCTTCCTATTTTCAGCCTTTGGGATTCTTTCCACAGGCACTCTAGTTCCTAGGTAGAGGGAAGGGTACCGTGGTCCATCCCATTCCGTTGTGGTCGGTGGAGGTGGTGTAGTTTGCCGTGGAATCTGGATCACCTGGGGATGTCCCACTCCCTCTCCGGTCTCCCGGGGGTGACATTTGGTATCTTTCGGGTGACGGGTGTCTCTCTGGATGCTGCCTTTCGGATTCCGGGGGGTGGTGGCCAAAGGAGATATTCTTTACGGCAGGTATCCGGCCACCCTCTCTTTTGTCCACCGAGGTGGCTCAGTAAATGTGAGATTGCTATCCCAGATTGCTGGTTTACTGGCATGAAGGGGAGGGTATGGCACGGGTTTCATGCCGCATCTGCACTACTTGCAGTGCTGGGGTCCTCTTGGGCATGGAGGGGGATTTACAGCCCTTTCATTTCTCCTAGGAACTTCCCTTCCACGTTCCCCTTTTTTTTTATTCTTTTTTTCTTTTTTTCTAAAAAACAAAAATAAAGTGACCTAATTATTATCATTATTATTAACCATGGAGTCCCATGTCCATGAAGCAGCTACCCTAGGCCCCTGCTACTGCACCTTGTTCTGACTTTACCTCGTTTGGACATTTCTCATGCCCCTATACCTCCTGCTGGTGCCGTTTTGTCACCCACTCCAGGTACCTGGGTTCCCTCTGACTCCTTTGATACATCTGACCTCAGCACTTCTTTGACCATGCTTCTGGCTTCTCCCTCTACGGTGTGGCACTTTTCAGATCTCCCGCCCATCCTACGTCAGACCAACTCCTGTCCCACACTTAAACACCCAAGACCATTACCTGATGATACTCCTTTGTTTCCTTCTCATTATGCCCAGAAAAGACCGGCGCAAAACTCTTTCCCTTTACAGGCTGTTTCAAAATATACAGTGGACTAAGTTTTTTTTACTCTGCAGCCGACTACTTCTGACTATCTTTCCAATCATAGTATTGGCAAGGTACTCCTATGCCATGTTGGTCAAGATACACCCTTTCATGCTCTCAAGGTCGGTGCATGCATCATCATGGTCCAGAATGCTAGCCAAGCTCGTGATCTTTCTCTCCTTACAGCCATAGATGCTATTCCTGCAACTACAGAAAAACATCATTCTCTCAATTCTTGTAGTGGTATTATCATTCTACCTCACACCATTGTTCAACAGAATTTCCAGATATGTGGTGATGACATTCTAGAACAGCTTGAGCTCCAAGACCTCCCAATGCTCAAAGCAGACACTTATGTCCTCCCTGCCTGCAGACAGAGACATTACCCTTGCAATGTAGCTTGCTTTACTTTTGACAGCCATGAGCTTTCGTCCTCAGTTTATATATTGCGTGACACCGTTTACAAGTTCACAAGGTGATCTCTACATGGCAACAGTGTAGAAATTGCTGGCACTTTGATCATCCAGCGAAATATTGCAGGTCCATGACTGAGTGCCCAGTTTGTGGTACCAACGACCACACCAATACATCTTGTAGTCTACCTCCCCCTTGCCTTAATTGTCATGAGGCTCACCCATCTTATTCTCGCTGTTGCCAAGCTTACTTAAATGAACGAGAAATCTGTTGTCTCAAAGAGGCAGAAAGCTTTTCATTTGCTATGGCAGTCTCTCATCTATGCCTCCAGGGGAGACTTTCCCTTATTTCTTTTTCTCGAGTTACTAAACGACCCCTAATTCTGGAGTACCAGCTTCCGCAGCCTCCTCTGTGGTCACCCCTTCCGCAGTCACTCCTGTTTCTAATTCTTTTTCTGTACTGGACTCAAAGGTCCATTCCTCGGCCCCTCATTCTATTCTCGCCTTTTCCTCGTCTAGCTCACAAGTTTCTGTGCCTACAAGACCTTGTACAACAACGCTTCCCCATCGCCCCTCTTCTCCCAAGTCCAAAAAATCCCCATTGTTAAAATCTCCTTTAACCACTCCTTCCCTTCTTCTACCTGCACATTTTTCCTTTCTAATCTTTGTACCTGGTTCTTCATCTCTAACTGACTCTGTTACGAGTGTGGAGGTTCATCCTCCTCCTCCTCATACAGTACCTTCCTTCCCTGTCCCACCCCCAAGTTTCTTCCTATTCTGCCCCCTCCCAGGTCGCTTCCTCTCCTGCCCTCTCCCAAGCTTATCTTCCAGTTCCCTCTGCCCTTTAGTCCACCCTTACTTTGGTAAATTCCATACTCACCCTCCCCCTTCCCTCTTCAGTATTGTCCCACATACAACGTTCTTGTCCTCTAAAACACTTGAAGCTATCTTCGAATATATTGACAAGATTAGACCATTGATGGACACCAATCCACCTCCTTTCCCTCCTCTTCACTCTTCGTCTGCACAACTCCTTTCTTCACAGCGTCCCAATCATTCGTTGCTTGTACATTTTCTAATCCATAGATACCTCTCCCTTCAGATTTCTTGTATCTTTCTCTTCACAAATCATGGCTTATTTACAGTGGAATATCAGCGGCCTCAGAGGCAGCTGGGGTGAGCTTCAAGTGTTGCTCTCCCAGTTTTCCCCTGTTTGTGTTTGTTTGCAATAACGCAAATTATGCTCCGCTGTTATACATCCCATCTTGGGCTATGATTTATTATATTCATCGGATCCTTTTCCTGATGGAACCTTTAATGAAAGTGCATTTCTTACATGCAGCGGTATTCCATACCATCAGCTCTATGTTCATACTTTGCTACATTACTCTGCAGCCTTGGTGGCTAAAGCTCCCGCTTCACACACGGAGGGCCCGGGTTCGATTCCTGGCTGGTGGAAACATTTCGACACTTTTCCTTACACCTGTTGTCCTGTTCACCTAACAACAAATAGATACCTGCGTGTGTGTATTTTCAAATCGAATAGAAGAGGACGACGAGAGCTGTCGTGAGATGGGGAGGAAGAAGGAAAAGGAAGGATGGAAATAACTGGAAAATGATGGGAAGGAGGGGAAGAGGAGGAATCAAGGCAAGTGGCCCAACCACTTTGGGACATGTGGTACCGAAGTACTAGAGGCGTAGATGGAGAGGCTTTAATGATGTCGTTACTTGGCTCTCTAGGAGAGTATGGCGAAGGCAGCGGCAGGAGCTGAGGGTGTCAGAAGGCAGCAAGCAGGATGAATTGGTTATTCTCTTGATCTGTTTTTCATTGCATTGAATTTTGTTCTAGAGAGTTGTAACACACGTATGGGAGAGCTGTAGAAGAGTTCGTTGGTTTGGAGTTGGTGGATTATCTGGTTGACGGTAGGGAATGGCTTTTCGTCGGAGTTGTATGTTGCAGTGTTGTCTTTGAGATGTTGGATGAGTTCTAGGCGAGACATTGGGGTGGGGTATTGCATCGTGGTGAAGAGATCGAGTCCTTTGTGTTTAACCCATAGTGTTCCAGGTAATCGACGTGGGCGAGGTGGAGAAGGTGGTGGTGGAGTTGAGGAAGGTGATGTTGATTCGTTGTCATCTTCAATAGACGAATAGGAAGATGGTTCTGGTGGCAAGGCTTCTGATTGGTTGAATTCAGTGAGGTGTAGTGGCGGTGGAGGCTTCTCATTGGACGTTGTTGGAGTGATGTCTCTAGTTGGTGGTGGTGATGAAGCTTCTACAGCAGATGTGTTGATTAAGTCCTTGATGAATTTGAGAATTTCTTCAGAAGGTGGAGATGCTGGAAATGTAAATGATGGCATGTTATTTAATGCAAATAACTCGTTGATGGTAGAGTTAAAAGGATCCAAGTACAGCCATGTTCTGCATGTGAGCGTATAGTAGACAATAGTGAATCTTCGTTACGTCACATGTTGGAGGAGTGATGGTGGTGGTGGTGGAGGCGGGCTGAGTAGATGCTTGAAGCAATTTTTTAGTGTCTGCTTGCAACTTTGCAATTGCGGCATACGTTGGTGTGTTGTTGGAAGATTTTTTCTTTGCTGCATCTTGTTGTTTCTTCATAATATCCTTTCTTGTAGGA